CCCCCCCCCCCCCCCCCCCCCCCCCCCCCCCCCCCCCCCCCCCCCCCCCCCCCCCCCCCCCCCCCCCCCCCCCCCCCCCCCCCCCCCCCCCCCCCCCCCCCCCCCCCCCCCCCCCCCCCCCCCCTCTATTGTGTCCATGCCTTTATTTTACTCTTTTCCCTCTTTACTGCTTTCTAAACAGTCTTTTGTTAAAGAGCAAAACAGTAAAGAAGGAAAAGAGTAAAAGATTAAGACGTTCTGTTTCCAATGATTCATACGTCGATCGATAAGGTATATAGAGGTAGTAAAAAGCTAAACGGGATTTGAGCCCATAGCTTTTCTTTCAAAAGTTAGCTATAAGTTAACGTTTTCATCATCAAATTTTTGTTTTTTCTCATAACCAAGATGATGTTTCGAATCAGCGTTAAAAAGTGCATTGAACAATCTTTGTTTTGGGAATTTTAAGGCACAAATCCTTTTTAGCATTTTACTACCTCGATATACCCTATCGATCGACGTGTAAATCATTGGAAACGGAAAGGATCACTCCCATAGGATTCTTCGTTAGACAAACGGGATTCCCTCATAAGTAAAATGCTGTTTTCACTCAGAAAATTGAATTTTAGAGTGCACCAGCTTACATTATTCAAATTTAATTACACCGTCGATAAACAGAAGTATCTGAATAATTCGAAAACAGTTCAAAAGGTGCAGAAATCTTTTCTCCTGTAGAGCATGCTCTCAGAATGCGTTTATTTTGCATTAAAGAGGTAGAAAACATCTGAATACGACGCAAAATTCGTAGGAATACTGAGTTTGGGGTAAATTTGTCTAGGACGAATATCCATCTTTTAACTTTTCATTTCGTCCATAGTTTCATAATCGACAAAAAGTTGTATCTACAGTAACTATCCATTCACAACAGTGTGGACGTGAATATTCTCTCAATAACTCGAGAACGAAAAGTGGTAGAGAGTAGGGAAAGCACGAAGTAAATATAGAGGCTTTTGAAACTCTTAGGTTGTATTCTGACGTTTTCGATCTCTTTAATATAAAATAAATGCGTTCTGAGAGCATATTCTCACTTTTATGATTTCTCAGTAATTCTGATTGGAGAGAATTGGTAGGAATAAACTTCAGGCAAAAATAATATTAGATACGTGTCTCTAGTTCCTGATACTCTAATCTAATCTCTCTCAAGGTTAAATTGTCACTAGCAAAACTTTATAATATGGTATAGGAACTTTAATAATGAACGAACACCTAACAATGTTTTTCTGCAGATTAACTAATGCATGAAGTAGATTTTTCCAGTAGAATACAGACGGGTAATTATCAGTCCCCAAACAGGCGCCGATATTACAAAACTTCAACATTAACATCCTTAGAACAAGATCAAATATAGATGAAGAATCTGACAGTCTGAAAATCTGGCGTATATGTGTGTGTATATACTCTATTAACTAAGAGAAGCAGGACACAGGTTAGTAGCAAAGGATGTAGACACGTTTAAGGACAAAAACTCTATTTTATTCACCATATCGGCAAGTCCAATATAGATAAACAATCCGCCAGCTAACGCATATATCCATTGATGAAAATCGCCCATGCCACCTAATTTTATCGCAATAAAAAATCCCAAATAACAACTACACGTTGATATAAAATTCATTAATAATGCTTGTGATATTGTTAAACCACTTGTTAATAAAACAGCAAGATCTCCTACAAAAAACTATCTATTGACTATAATCAATCATATCAAAATATAATAGTTATACCTAATTTGTGGGGAAATTCTTCACATAAAATTGGCACAGTCATCTGTAACCCTTCAGCTAAACTAACACCAAATGCTGCACCCAATGTTAAACCATCAATAAATGCATGACACAAATCACCAATAAATATTAGCCAACCACTTTGTTTCATTTTTTTCAAATTATACAACAAATTTTGCTTCTTCTTCTTAAGCAAAGTGTAAAGTTAGGGATGTATCAAATCCTGCGACTATGTCTCAAAGGTTGCATATTTTTGTTATTTAAAACCCTAAACTTTAGCAAACTTTTGTGTCAGACATAACCAGTTTTTCTATCCGAAACTAGTGTTGAATTTTATCAGATTTAAAAATAAGCCGCTGGATTTGTTAGGTGAAAAATGAAGAAAAAGAGTTGGTCAGTTTTCACCAAACCCTACCAAATCCAGCGGCTTATTTTTAAATTTGATAAAATTCAACACTAGTTTCGGATAGAAAAACTGGTTATGTCTGACACAAAAGTTCGCTAAAGTCTAGGGTTTTAAATAACAAAAATATGCAACCTTTGAGACATAGTCGCAGGATTTGATACATCCCTGACTTTACACTTTGCTTAAGAAGGGATAGGGCATATTTTGTCCCGCAAGTCGAGTTCTAAAGGGTGGTCTTCTATTGCGGTCAAACTTTGTCGCCTGTTGGTAGTCCAACGGTAACCCCAATGTACTTGAAGTCCATCCCCTATTAGAAGTACATTTTGGCGAAATTTTTTTGAAATTCCCCTATATATTTTCCAATTTTTTTGGCGGACATAATAGAAGATCAGTAGTCTTCTGGGAGTTAGAAGACCATCGTCTTCTGTTTGACTTCCAAGTCGTATAATCGGTTGTGGTCTTCTAATAGTGGATGGTCTTCTGTGTTATGGAGGGCGGGAGTAATAAGATTTCTATAAGGATTCAGATTTTGTAGCGTTTCTATATGTAAAAAGTCCAAACAACCTGCTGCAAACTCATTATTAATTTTACCATATATCGAGTACAATTTTACAGACAAAAGAATGTCAATCAATTTGAAACCGGATTATACTAGAAAATGCCCGGAGAATCTCTAACAAATAAGAACCAAAACGGTCTAGTTACTTAGAACACGTTCCCTAAATGTTCAGCCCAATACATACACTTTTATTTGTTTGATCAAAAGAAACAATACTTGCACGACGAATATCAGAATCAGTTATTGGTTCATTATTCTGTAAAACAACGAAATTAGTGAATCCATGAAATTATAAACGTGTAGAACGGGTGTTGCACAGTTTCTACTAGAATTTTCTTTCTTCTGTATTTCAGCCTAGGAGTATCGTGAAATGTTAAATTGTTTTTTAAAAGATAGCCCGTAGTGTCTCCTGCAAACTTCGTCTTCAAAGTAATTTGATCCAACATAGCGATTCGATGTTACGAGTCAAATACTGTGGATCACCAGAAAACCATAAAAAATGTATTTTGAGATTTTTCTTTTTCTAACAAAAGCAAGTTGAAGTAAGAGTACATGATTAGATGGTCTAGTAAAAGCTCTATCGATCGTACTATTCCAAAATAATTTGGCATCAATTCCTTATTGTTGATAAAATATTTCCGAACACTCAGTTTTGCCAAAATCGCTGGCCTTTATGTTACAAATTGCGCCACTTCAGAAAATAATTATGATCGCACAAGTACCTATGCAGACAAGATCGTTTTTATGTGATTTTATAGAGAATTGTTTGAGCTCTCGAAGAAACGTGAGAAAATAGACAATTCTTTAAACTAAAGTTTAAAATCTAGAAGTTTTTGAAAAATTAGGGACCTTCAGGTCGAAATTTGTGCAATGACTTTTTTGATTAAAACATATATGTTCATATGCCATGGCATATGGCATTGAAGGAGGCCAGAAATCACCGAATCGAAAAATTTCAAAAGCTTGTTTGGTCGAAACCGATTGCAGATTCGTCTTCTCCATGGTTGATTATGTGGTACGCAATAACATTTGGATCGGGGTACTTTAGAAAAAAATTTTCCCATGGTCTTGCTCAAAATTTTTTCCAAATGTTACCGTATGGGACCAAAGGCAAAACGATGTCGAAAACTTTTTCTAAAGTACCCCGATTAAGAAGTTATCGCGTACCACGTAATCAACTATGGAGAAGACGAATCTGCAATCGGTTTTGACCGAATAAGCTTTTAAAATTTTTCGATCCGGTGATATGTCAAACCATGTGCCTGGATTTTCTTGTCGCGTATCGCTGAGTAATTTAAACTTGTAGGAACTTTTCTCACCAACACGTTGTGCGGAATGGTCTTTCAATGATTCGCAGCATTTGACTCGTAACACCGAATCGCTATGTCTGATTAAATTACTTTGAAGATGAAATCTGTAGAAGACACTACGGGCTATCTTTTAACAGACAATTTAGCATTTCACAATACTCCTAGACTAATGATGGAACACCACCAGCTGCCCCTTCGCTTTTTTAGTGAGAATCACATGGCTACAGGCTGTCGACGGTGCTGATCCCGAATATGACCATGAGGGCGGCGGTTAGGCCTTCGGTAACACGATTTCTCAGAAAAACGTTTTTCTATGGCGAAAATCGTTTTTTACTAAAAAGATTTTTGATCTACCCCGATGGTAGGGCATATCGAGTTGTCTATAAAACACTCATATTTTCCTTATAAACCGATTACAGAATGTTATATAGCCGTTCGGGGTTGCTGGGTACAAAGCTCTCAAGTGAGTGTGCAAGCGCAAGTTTGTAAACACCCATTAGCAAAGCATACCATCTTTTCAACTGTTGACAATTAAAATGAAAGCTAAGTATCATGTATAAAAACATCTGAGAAAAAAACTAAACAGGTACGAGATAAAAAATTTAGTTAGGTTAGGCAGAAACCGTGTAGTGCGTTTCATTCTTCGATATTAGGTGTTTGTGGGTGGTAAGGGTTACTGCTATTAAATATTACTTATTTCACAACTTTATTTCCATTCTGTATGCGCACGTTTTGTTTTTCCCTCTCCACCTAGTGTGAGCTATCCGCGCTACAAAAGATAAACATGGCTTAAATGCCATGGCCAACGATCCTAAAAATCCTAGTAACGTAATATCTTTAGATGATTACAGAACTGCACTTATCATAACATCACAAGTATTAGTATATCATCCTCTGTAATCGATTTATAACGAAAAAAATGAGCGTTTTATAGACAACTCGATATGCTCTACAATCTGAATCGATCAAAAATCTTTTTAGTAAAAAAAAGATATAGAAAAACGTTTTCTGGAAAACCGTGTCTCTGAATGCCTGACTGCCACCCCCATGGTCATATTCGGGATCAGCACCGTCGACAGCCTTAAACCATGTGGTTTTCATTAAAAAAGCGAAGGGGCAGTTGGTGATCCTCCCTCGTGAGGTAGAGAAGAAAGAAAATTCTATTAGAACTTTTGCAACATTGGTTAATATTGATCTCAAATCTATGAACTTACAAGTTCGCCACCATGATTGTGTGGATGGGAAGGAATCTGAAGAAAGCGAATAATGAAATTTATCATTGGATGCAAATAATCATCTTCATAACAAGTTCTAATTTTTCAGAAAGCTATTCTCCAATGCCGGAAAGGGTCTTAACTTAAAAGGCAATGCTAAAAAAAATAGAAACAATATATTTTCATTCATCTACTAACCGTTTCAATATTGAAAATTATATTTAATAACTCGTCTCTCATAAATAATAAACAGATAATTAACATAGTTAATAGTGTTTTACCCAAATAAGAATGTCCAGCGTCTATTTCAGGAATATTAAATGCCTATGAAAATTAAGCTAATCTTTTAAAACAAAAGAGTTATTTGATTAATATTTTTCAATTACCATTGGAATAAGATGAAATAGACCGATGCCGACCAATGTCCCGACAGCTAGTATATTATAACGTATAGTAACAAACAATTATTACATTACCAAAATAGAGAAATTTTTTTACCTAAGCCAATCAAAGTGGTTAAAATCCATTTAAATGCTCTTGTTTTACTCCAAGGTAATATAAAAATACCGCCAAATGCTGATAAATTTACAATTGTTACACATATAAAACCGATCAAAATATCTATTGAGATAAAGATTCGTGTAGTAATTCATTAGACTTACATGTACACAATAGAAAATCGCACAGACAAACCCTTACTTGCCAAACGTGACTTCTTTCGTGGTTTATAACAGTCATTATTAAGTTTAAGACTAGCCAAAGCTGGTAATAATCGTTTAATATCATTTTGACTTAAATCTTTCCCTGTTATGTTAAATGCATCAAGCAAATCATACGATGATTTAAAACACTGATAATTAAACAGGAAAATTGCACGTATAGTAAGACGCTGCTAATTCAAAAGTTCAGCACATTTTTTTTCTGACTGAAACACATATCACCGAATAGATTTAGTGCTGTTGATCACGAATATGAGCTTCTTAATAATTTTGATAAAGTCTTTGGCTAGAAAATGGCAAAATACGGGGACGAGTGCAAAATGCCTAAAAGTTTTCCGTTTTCAAAAAACACCCCTAACTTTGTACTCTCGCACTTCTTCCTCTCACCGTTGTGTTTTTCGAATTTCTTATATGAAGATGAATCTAGAAATGTTGGCTAGAGCGTTATCACTTATTACATGTCCGAATTGAAAAATCAGACTCTATATCTGCGCTCAATAGATTACCAATTTCGGTAACTCTATCTAGTTTTTTGTATTAAGCGATGGAACCTTCACTCATACGACATTTGAATCGTAAATTCAAACGCAAAACTTAATGATTGATTTTTCTAAAAGTCCTTTTTTCTCAATCAGAGGCAAAAAAGTCAGAATTCTGCTCGTAACTTTCAATTTTGTGTATCAGAACTTAGCTTTTATGCAATAAAAATATCATATTCGGAATCCGTATCAAAAACTAAGTCGACTAATGTGTATTTCGAAATTTTTATTATAAAAAAAAGATTTTCATTTTTTGGTAAAAATCGCGATAATTTTAAACTAAGGTAGTCGGATATGATAGAGATACACTGTCGTTCGATTCGTTTTTTTATCTGATTCCGAATATGATATTTCTATTGCATAAAAGCTGAGTTCTAATGGAGAAAATTGTGGATTACCAGCAGAATGCTGGTTTTTCTGCCTCTGATTGACAAAAATGAATTTTCTAAGCAACGGAAAGGAATTTAAAAAAAGCGAATCATTAAGTTTTGCCCTTGAATTGACGATTCGAACGTCGTATGCACGAGGATTCCATCACCTAAGAACGGGGTTCTCCACCGGTTTTTTTCCGGCAGTTTGTAGAGGACGCTTCGGAGCATATATCCCAACAAACCTTTTGGTTTTCGGATTTATAGTTTTTGATAAATTAATTTTAAATTTTTTTCGGGTTTTTTGCCCTATTTTTAAAATTTCAATAAAAGATTCATTTTTTGATATGAAGAGTTGATTCTAGCGTAGTTCGATAGAGAACATTAACTTGTATAAAGAGAAATACTTTTCATCATTCCCGAATGAAGTTTGACGCAGAAATTTAACGTTCACCTTCCCAAGGAAACTTCACAGCTAAAAGTATTTTTTACATCATCTTACGGCTTGTTTCGCTCGAAGCAAACATTTTGTAGCAAAACTGTGGCTACAAAAGTTGTTCAGCATCGAATTCTGCAGTCTCCATTAGAAAATTTGATGCTTGCTCCGCGTTGAACCAAATTGGATAAAAATTGGGCGCCAGATGCCAAATTTGTCGGTGAATCCAACAGTGGGTTCCTTATAATTACATCTTCACTTCTTTTTCGGCTTCGACATAATCAACGTGGTTTTTGCCTAAATTTTATTTTTCTCATTGGTTGAAAAAAAGGCGCGAATGAGAATAATAAAATTTAGGCAAAAACCACGTTGATTATGTCGAAGCCGAAAAAGAAGTGAAGATGTAATTATAAGGAACCCACTGTCGGATTCACCGACAAATTTGGCATCTGGCGCCCAATTTTTATCCAGTTTGGTTCAGCGCGGAGCAAGCACTAAATTTTCTAATGTTGACAAGAGGTGTTTCTAAAATTGTTTTTTCTTGGTTTTTAAACTGAAAAATACAAAATTTTAAAACTTTAAAAACCGTAAACTTTAATTTAAAAACCAAGAAAAAACAATTTTAGAAAAACCTCTCGTCAGGGACTACAGATCGATGCTGAACAACTTTTGTATCCAGAGTTTTGCGGCAAAATGCTCATGTCGGAAAACTAGGCGTAAGGTCAGGTAAAAAATCTTCGCTGAGTCAGAAACCTGCGATATTTTCAAGTTTTGTATTTTTTCGTCAAGTCTTCCCAGTTTTTAGAAGACACTTCGAAGTATATGTCCTGAAGATTTTTCGGCTTACTGACATCATCTGGCTGAGAAAACAATTAATTACTGAATAAAATGCTGTTAAATTTTTTTGAGCATGGGGCTATTATGAAAACATTCTAATGAAGGTATAAATGGAATTCTATACAAGAAATTCGAAAAACACAACGGTGAGAGGAAGACGTGCGAGAGTACAAAGTTAAGGGTGTTTTTTGAAAACGGAAAACTTTTAGGCATTTTGCACTCGTCCCCGTATTTTGCCATTTTCTAGCCAAAGACTTTATCAAAATTATTAAAAAGCTCATATTCGTGATCAACAGCACTAAATCTATTCGGTGATATGTGTTTCAGCCAGAAAAAAAATGTGCTGAACTTTTGAACTGGCGGCACCTTAATAGTAATAACAATGTAACAATTTACTTACCATGTTGCTTAAATTTTTTATATCATTTGGATTATGCCTGGCAAATGATGTATTAACACTATTCATCCTATACACACCAGAATCCTTTGAAGACGATAACATTTGAAAGAATTTATCGAACTTTTCTCGATTGTCCATATTTTTGTATAACAATTGTTCCTCGACATTGGATAAATTCAAATGAATTGTTTCTACTTGTAGAAGTAACAATGTAGCAATAATCAAAATTAATAATAGACCCATCCTACACATAAGTATCTAAAGCTGAATTCATACAATAGTATATATACGTTCCTTGAATCTTTCGAGACAAAAAGTCTGGACTTTTCGATAGCATTTAGAAATAAATAAAAAACACACTTCACACCACTTTCAGCAGCCAGACATGTACGCCTCTTTAACATTTATTTAAAACTAAGTGTTGTGCCAACTAATCGTTCAGCAAAGAGAGTGGAGAGCTATAAGTGAACTCGTTGAACTATTTTATCTGATTATACATTTAACGCTTAATGTAAAAAAAAACTTCAGATGTGCTTTACTCGGACGTTCACTGACGCTAAATACCCCTCATTTTTCTTTGCAGTCATTGAGAAAAGCAATCACTCGGTAAAGAAATAGTCCTTTTTTTAGTGTGCTGATCCTGTAGAGCGCACAAAATAACCTAGGGATCCAAATTTTTAGATCTTCATATGAAAAAGTGAGCTAGACGAGACTTTTCTTCTAACAGCCGAACGAAAAAACTCGAGAAAATGTAACTTAACTTCTCTTTCCTACTTCCCATATTAAAAACTTGGAATTATACAGGTGATCCAAAAAAAACTTACCACCTATGTATTTATTAACTTTCTTGTGTACTAATATAATTGAACTTTTTACCATTAGTTTATTCGAATAGAGCAAAGATTCTGGACAAAATGAGACGTCTCCGAGCTCTTTAAGAACTTTTTTCATGAAACAGCATTGAAGAATTATTTCGTAAGGTGAAAATTTTTAATAAGAATAATAGGACTAAAGTCACCTTTTTAAACATAAGTATAAAGTAACAACTTTATTTATTTGAGACGTTTCGTTCTATGCTATAGAACTTCATCAGTCAAAATGATCAGTGTGTAAAAACATGGACATAAGTACAACAGAAAGAAAAATATAAAGAAAACGTGGAAAGAACGGAGAAGACAATTTTACTTCTCTCGTAAAATGTAGAATGATGAATCATTATCAAAAAACGTTTAACTGAAAACTTTTTTGAGAGTAAACGTTCTTTCCTTTTTTATAAATATATATAATAATAAATAAAAATATATAAATATATATAAATAATAAATAAAGTTGTTACTTTATACTTATGTTTAAAAAGGTGACTTTAGTCCTATTATTCTTATTAAACAGCATTGAATTTACGGAAGGCCCCAAGAGCATATTTTTCTTGTTTGCCCATTAATTGTCCCGATTTTGGTGGTATGGGATTTCTGTAAACTGAATGCTGTTTCATGAGAAAACCTCTTCAAGAGCTCGGAGACGTCTCATTTTGTCCAAAAATCTTTGTTCTATTCGAATAAACTAATGATAAAAAGTTGAATTATATCTGTACAGAAGAAAGGTAATACACAGGGAGTAAGGTGTTTTTTGGATCACCCTGTATCTGAGGTGAAACAGAACAAAAGTCTCTGTAGAACAGGTTACTTTTCATGTCGAAGAACCAACACTGGTCAATGACAAATTTCAAAAGTGTGAAAAATTGATTAAAGTTTTCATGTAAAATCAACCCTGCAAACTTTTTACTAAAGAAACAATTTGCTACAAAAATTAGGACAAAAATCACAAATGTAGCAAGCGGGAGAAACACTGCAATAAAGAATTTGGATATTCTTCTGTTTCTCCCTCTTAAAATGTTCAACATATGTTCATTAGAACAAAATGAAAAAGTGAGTGAATGGTGAAAAGCGCAAAGAAAAAAGTGAGAATGAAGAAAAAGAAGCGAAATGTATATATAGTCGTGTGTTTTTTATTGTATAGCTGCTGATGACTACAGAAAGCTTCGGGTTTTTTTAAATAAAAAATCAATGATTGTTGTTTTCATACTATTTTTATTATATTTTTTTACACAATATTTTGTTGAAATAATTATGTTTTACATTAAAAAGCATAAAAGTAGTTTGAAATAAGCATCGGTGATGTGAATGAAGTTGTTACGCTTCATAAAACGGTCAATATTTTATTTTTTATAATACGGTGATTACCATCGTAACGTGTTCTTTTCTCTCTTCATAGTAATACACCTTTGTTTAAGTTATGAAATACTAGTTCTTATCAGTAAAATACATGTCTAGCTCATTTTTCGATATAAAGGTCTAAAAATTTGGATTAGTGGATTATTTTGTACGCTCTACTCTATCAACACAGTTAAAACAAATTCTACTCTTTGACCGAGTAACGCACCTGTTCAACCATGATCCATAACTGTACCGACTATCTCTTAACACAGGGAAGTTGGACTGCACAAATTATTGTTTCCTAAAACTTTTGAAATGAATAATCTAGTTTCAAATTCATAAGACTATTGAGAGTAGACTGTTCACGGAAAATCAGACAAGATTGCGTTTATGAACAGGGTTATTACTGTCTTTTATTAACAAACTTTTAAAAGAAGAAAAATAACAAATAAATGTCCTTACTTTACCTTTAATAGAGGCAGATTTTTTCTCATACACATGCTAAACGTCAAACATAAAAAAACATCAAACAAATGAAGCATGACCATGACTGTAGAAAGAAGGAATGTAGCCTGGTTTACTTAGAGTTTTTACCGCAGAACATGAACAGACCTTCTGAGGGTTGTCTAGGCTCGGAAGGAGACAATATTGAAGTCCCACAAATCCGGAACCGCACTTGGAACATATCTACTCAAAAAGGTCTACACAACATTGCACTATAGCGCACCATGCTTATACTTAGGGCATACCAAAAGTAGTGAGAGTTCCAATTTTTTCTTCCAAAGTAGGCTTTAAGAAATTTTCTTTTTATGTAGTCTGATAGAGAAAAAAAGCTCTATCTTTTTATGCTATTTGATCATA